TGTTATTTATTGTGTTTTTCTGTTACATTTATATACTGCCTTTCCTCCAAAAAGCTCAGGATAAGATACATGATCTTCCTCCTCTCCATTTTATCCTCACAGCAGTGCAGGGAAGTAAGGCAGACTGAGAGTTGGTATCTGGCCCAAAGCCACTCAGTGAGCTCCACGACTGAGGGGGGAAATAGAACCGAGACCCCCAGAGCCCCAGCCCAGCAGTCTAACCTCTGCCCCACACTGGCTCTCTATGATTCGTAGTGCTCGCCTTTGGAATGCATGCGCTTACATGTGCGAGGACTGGCAACATGAAGCTGCTGCACCCTTAATGTGGTGCTAATATTTGGAAAGTTGCTGCCTCTGGGACACTTATCTAGAATACATACACAAATTTCAGTTTGGACTGAGAAATCATGGATGGCTTTAGTGTCACGTAGAATAAGTTTTAGTGAGATGAGAGATTGATATTTATTGATGAGACCAATGTTTAAAAATTTCTATAAGTGAATGATGTATCTACAAAGTACACTTAGGACTATTGTTAAATTGATTGCAATTGGCTGGTGTAAATCAACTTTATTTTGTTTAAGCCCTAATGATTCTGCCTGTTGATAGGCTGGAATGGAAATGCTGACCTCCTTTTCTCTGTTCCAAATAGGCATTCTGTCTCAACATACTAGGAATACATGTTGTCTAGAAGGTCTTCTTTTAACAGACTGTGGTTGATTTAATTTAAAATATGATTATATTTAGTTTATAAGTGCATAAAATTTCTCCACTTCTAGGCAATTCTTTTTTCCCAGGCAATGTGACCCCAATTGCAGGTATTTCCATAAACTGTGTATGCATTGCCCTCTAGTGTTAGCTCAGCATTTGAAGAAAACATTCTGGGGAAAGAATTGCTCCCTATGAAGTTTCTTGAGGCAGTTCCTTGCATAGCTCACTCAACAGGCCAGGCACTGCGCAGCTGGGTTGAGAAGATGCTGTATTTGAAACAGATCAAAAGCATACGCCTCACACATGTACCCGGGTTCAATCCTGATTTTCATTGGTTTGTAGCCTTAAGCGCTTGGAGAGAGATAGCAGGCACTTCCTGAAATACAGGAAACACTTAACTTTTAGGATAAAGTCCAAGTCTCATCTGTTCACAAAAGGATCTAGCTGGTTTGGTAGCCTTTTTAATGTAATGGCTTTTAAATTACTGAGGCTTGGTCTGTGCTACCTCATCGATGTAGGTTTAGTTGTTATGAATGGAATTGCTTTTGTGTTGTAGAAGCTGCCTCAAATGTAGGAGAGGTGGGGTGTAACATTAATTCTATCTGTCCAGTCTGTATATAGAGTATATTATAAGGAAAAGTGGATTAGGGTCAGAGGAAAAAGAACTGAAATTGGTGGAAGAGATACCAATAATTTAAGATATGCAGATCATCCCATATTTCTGGCCAAAGGCAGCAATGACTTGAAATGACTCTTGATGAAAGTACAAAAACAGCTGAACTACAGGTGAATATTAAGGGAACAAACATCTTGACTACAGAAGAACTTTCATGTCAGCATTTGTTCCGCTAATTAGAGTTGTGATGGAGCTCTGTGGAATCCGTCGCTCTGGCATCTGCAGACTTGCTTTAGAAGTGAGCCCGGCAGCTCGTGGAAGGAATCTTGCACAACCTTCATGTGCGGCACAAGCAGAGGCTGCCGTACATGATGCGGAAGAGGAGCTCAGTCCCTGGCAAGCGCTGCAAGAACGCTGGACTTGCTTGGCAGGAACTCAGGCTCACAAGCACGACAAAGTGGGCTGGAGTCTGGGGAGTCAAGGTCAGGGAGTCGAACAGATTCCCACCCCCAGAATGGATTCCCCACACATGTCTAGCCCCAATGCATACTCAGAACAAAGAAACTACTATGCTAGCCCTGGAACTTGAATGTTTAATTTAATAGTTAATACAGGGTGGGTCAAAAGTAGGTATGCAGTACTGATTGGGGTCATGGAGGACTTCACACAGTGGACATATTGAAGGAGTTCATCTTGCAAGCGTTTATTGACATTGGTGCTAACTGGAATTTGTGTCACAGTGTCTGGGACAAGCTCCAGGAACTTTGTAACATTGATAGAGGACATTTTGAGCACCTAAGAGATTAAACATGACCCAGCTAGCACTGTATACCTACCTTTGGTCCCCACCCTGTATTGTTGCCATTAGTTGGCATTGACCTGATGGCACATAACCAGAAGAAACAGCATCCCTTTCCCCCTTTGTCTTCAGCTTCCTTTTAGAAAAAAGATGAACCCTGGTATGTATGAAGCTGCCTTATATTCAGGCAGATCATTGGCTCGTGCCTCACTGTTGCTTACACCAGGGGTAGGCAACCCATTTTCATCTCCTTCCCCCAGACAAAACCAGTGGGCCAGATGATGCCACCCTCCTCCAAACCCTTCTGGGACATCATCATGCCCCACTCTTTCTTTTCCTTCCCCCTTGTCTTTCTCTGCAGGGTCCATGTGGCCCAGCTCGTGCCCTCAGGAGTTGGTTCCTGCAAGGACCAGCTGAGTCCTACCAGCAGTATGGGAAGCAACTTGCACAGGACATGCAGCCCCTGGTCCTGCTTGTCTCGACTCAGCTGGGCACCTCCTCGCCACACTGCTCCCATCCAGACTGGGGCCGGAAGGGCACGCCTGGGTTTGCACACCAGGCTCTGCGAGCCCTAGGGAGTGCAATGAATATGCACAGAGCCCGTTGGGACCATGCATGTTGGGGGTGCAGAGTGTAGGCAGGAATCACCTCTGATCAGAGATTGGGGATATCTTGGGGGTGCCTCTCCCCAGAGCAGGGAGTGGGCTTGGTGAGAGGACTGCTCTGAGATTAAACTAGTTCTCCCTGAGTTAGCAAACTGTTCTAGGGACAGTGGGTGACATGCATTGCCAAACGAGGGGGAGATTCCATCTCCAAACAAGAGGACAGAACTGGGTGCTAGTCTGCTTAATGTTTCCATCTGCAAAATCTCTATGTGTGGGTGCAAATTTAGAAATGATATTATTTAAATTAAATACCAGCACGGTTCCCTGTGTGCCTGCACAGCCTGCTGGCTGGGTTTTCCCTGTTGATGAATATTCTCAAGGCTTTGCTCTGCGCTTCCCTCTTGTGGCCCTTTGCATTCAAACCAGAACTGGATAGGAGAGCGCAGCAATCAATAAATGAATAAATAAAAAAGCAGGAGACTCCGCCATACAGAGGCTCTCTCTGCTGGCTCTCTGAAAGAAGACTGTCCTCTGCAAGGGCCTCAGAATCTGCCCACCTGGACCTCCAAACAAGACCCCACTTGGTCTCCTCAACTACTCAGTTAGTTTTGGGATCTCGCCAATGCATAATGCAACTGCGCGTACCTAATACGTGACCAACTTTTCATGATTTGTCCTTTGTGCTAGGGTTTCCACCACTACCTCACACCAGACATCATGAGAAAAGCTGTAGCTGAATAGCCTATATTTTCCCAAAGCCATTAATGAGCAATGGGCTCTCTGCATAGATGCACTGCAGAAATACTTAAAAGGAAAATCACTGCCCGTCTGAGCCTCCTAGATCTGGGCAGAGGGCTTTTCTCTTTTGTGCAGGCAAAGAGAAGAAGATGGGCTGGTTTTGCCTTCAGAATTTGGCAAGGCTATTTTCTTCTTTTCCACCTGCCAAATCACTGGGGAAAGATGAATAAGTCCTGGAATAAGAAACACCCCAGCTTTTCTACTGTTAATTTCAGTAGGAGCAGGGAAACTGAATTGAGGGGAATAATTTGGGTTTCAGGTATGAAAGGCAGGACTGAACACTTTAAAAATTTTACTTCAGATGAGTAGCAAGCATGTGCCTAGATAACTGGAAGCGTGCAGTCAGCACTGCAGGTGTGGATCTTGCTGATTTACTTCCCAGGATGGGGAAATAATGGCATCCCATGCAAGTGACATCTTAGTGCTTCCTTTGCTTGAGTACCTGGTTACAGGGAAGAGTCAGCTAGGGGCAAGTCCAGATATCTCTGTCAGAGGATTTATCGATGGAGAGGAATGCCAGGTGTTCGTCCATGTGGCACAGAGGGCTATGGGGAAAGTGCCTTCTCAATCAAGAGGGAACGTAGGTAAGGAAATATGAAGAAAAGGCCATAGTCCATTCAGTGGTATCTTCTGGGGCAGGGAGGAGGGCGAATGTTTGTAATGGCCGGATCCTATGCATGTTTATGCAGAAGTTCTACTGAGTACTGTAATAATTAAGTGTGCACACGACTGGAACTTACAGCATCATCTTTCTTCCTAGTGTTTGCAGAACCACTTGTTCAAAGACAGTAGCAGTGGCAGGCATGGTGGGATTCCCTGGAAAGTCCACTGTGTCGACTAATGCTATTAGTGTTGCATTTGAAGATTATTATGCTAGTGCACTGGAGTTTATATTATTGCTAGTGTCCTAGTGGATACTTCCCTCTGTCATCTTTAACGGGACCAACATAAATTGTATGAACTTGTTATCCATTGACATTTTGTTTTAAATATGGTCCTCTTATTATTTTCCTGTGACACTCAGAGGTGCTAACCCATTGGCCAATTTGGGCCAAACTACACAATATACTGATAGGAACTTTTTCCTGAAGGTTGATAACAGGAAAGTCTGTGCTGTCTGGGAAAAACCAGGCCACTGTGGAACCTATGAGTCAGATTCACAGAAATCTGAATGCATCGTCTTCTGGTAAGGAACCCAAGGTGGCTTCTCCTGTTGTTAGGATAAAACAACCCTGTGAAGTAGGTTAGCTTGAGAGGCAGTGACCAAACCAAAGTCACCCAGTGGACTTCATGGCTGAGTGGAGACTGGAACCCTTATCCCTGCAGTCCCAGCATCTGTACTAGAAGTAACTTCTTTGGTATCCTTTTCTAGAAAAGCTGAATGATTCACTGAAATGGCACAGTGTGCATTAGCAAAGAAAGCCTCATTCACAAAGGAAACACAGTGCAATCAAACAGATGAAAAGGCATAACAGCTGCAAAATGCTAAAATTTTATTAATCATTGGAACTGTTCTTCTAAAGAAACAAATGCAAATTGTAAAAAGGTGGAGTTATCCCTCAACCAGGCATTAGTTGACAGACAGTATGGATTCAGAACAAAATAGCCCCCAAAGTCTATTTTCCAGAAACAAATAAATAGTAGTGGTACAACATAAAAAAATTCACTGTTGTAGAACAAAATGTATATTATTTTTTACTACTTTGGTTTACAAAAGTTCTTCATATGACCCTTGGCAAATATATCTATATTCATTCTGTAAACAATTATTTTAAAAATTTAAGATCTTCATACAATTACTATGCTAATGATATCATGTAAACAGAGAGTCTTTCCAGCAGCAGCCATACTTTGTCAGGTTTTCCTTCTGCACAAGAATAAATCTACAAATAATCCCCTAATATTATAGCCCTGTATCTTTTGAATGAGTGAAATTCATAGAGGAAATGATTTGAAATGATGGATAGGGAGAACAAATTGGGAAAATGAAGCCTACATTTGCAACTGTGGTGGATAGGAACAGACAACCTTGCCAAATGAAAATGGAATGAAATGGAATTCTGTGAATAGCAATTCTGTTCCAAAATAATGAATGACTTAGGCCAATTGGTGGTGAAAATTCTTCTGCCTGTATTAGAAAAGAATTACTATAGGAGGTTTGGTCAATTTCGCAGTCTTAATTTCAAAAGAGGAAAAATTCAAGCCAAAGCCCTTCTATGTCCAAACTTTTTATGGGGTAATACACAGGCTTCCCCCCCCCCTTATTTGCAACTGGATGGGGAGGGTGGTTCTCACTCAAGCCTAAACCCATGGCATACAGATGGAATGTATTGTTGTGGCACCCCAAAGAAAAGAATAAGGCCTTTCTGCCAGTATTAGATATAGAAAATATTAATCTGTATGTGCTTTTTTGGATACTTTTCTATCAAGAACAGCATCTTTTATTTTAATAGCTCTAATTTAATTCCTGGTCTTGTTTATTTCTTAAAATGGCTGAAGTGGTTAGGCTGAGATTATTTCTGTTCAAACTGCTGTTGAACTTCCTGTTGTGGCTCTTCTTCCTGTTGCTGCTGCTGCTGTTGCTGTGTAGGTGTTGGACTGGGATGGGGAATGCACTCGCTGCTCGTACAAGCACACTCTTCGACGTAGATATAGGAATAATCTATGGTGGAACCATCAAGGCATGTGAGGGTCACGTGCTTCTTGCTAGTCTTCTGTTCCTGACAGCATGAGCAATTGTGATCCATGGCATTCGCCTTGTAAGAATACCTGAGTGGTCACAAAAATAAAACAGAGGAGGATTTAGATTAGCTGATGCTCCTGTATCTGACATTGAGAACTTACTGCTGGGTATGGATGAATCCATGAAATTTCTCATTTTCCTTACATTAATTTTGTTCCATCCTGTTTTCTCTTCAGTTTGTGAATTCATACCTATTTTCAGGCACATACGCCTACATGTACGTATTTTTAGCTAAATGTGCACACTTTTCTAAACATAGTCATCTATTTGCAAGTGATTTTCTCCAGGAGAATATATTCATTTTTTGAGCTCTTTCGATTGGGAAATAGTTGCAAAAATTAAAGAATGTGCAGATATCACTGTATCACTTCATTCCCATTATGCATAAGTTTGAGAAGCACAAATTTAATACATTAGCATTAAAATGTAAAAGCAGCACATATCTCACCCATCCCAATCCAAACATTTCATCTGGCTTTTGCTATACTAGAAACTATCAATTTAATATCATTTATCTGTCAGTGCTGTCATATGTCACCAATCAGTTAAATTTAACTGTAAAAAAATTCAAGGGTAGCTCACATATTAAAAGCATAATCCCATGCTTGCTTATTTGGAAATGAAAAATTCTATTTGAAAAACCCTATTTTTAGGAGAACCAATAGATTCTGTACCAAACCTTTTCAGCCTAAGCCAGCCTTTCCTAACTTAGTGGCCTCCAGATGTTTTTGGCTACAATGCCTAGGTTCTGAATGATTAACTATGTTGGCTGGGGCTGACAGAGGTGAAGTCCAAAACACTGGGAGGTCATCGAGTTGAGGAAGGCTGACCTAGGCTAATTCCAAGCTCTAAATCAAACTGGAATGGTCCAGATGAGTGCTGAAATAGAACCACATAGATGTTAGAAGTTTGAAGGTCTTTGATATGCTTAGCCTATGGGAAAGAAAACTAAAGAGAAGACATGGCAGCCCTTAGGTACTTAAAAAAGCATGCCAGAAGAATGAGCTTTGTGATCCTGCAAAGGCACCCTGTTTGTGTGAGCAAAAACTCCTTACTGCTTGTTATAGAAAAAAAAATCTTTATGGTAGTGGAATTCCATCTGCCATAAGAGGGAAAAGGAGATTATAAATTTATGGAGCTCTGGTTAATGGACTTAAATTATAGGAGGGAAATGTAGGTGTCTGAACGGATTTAAGGATGTCTTAGACCTAGGAAAGGATGCTTTGAATATAGACTTTCCAGTTGTATGGCAAGGGATGAAGTCAGTGACTTTTGGAGTACCTTCCAACTCCATTTTCAGCAAGCAAAATGATTTCTTTGTAATACTTTTGGGCACAAACATCTTGTATTAAAAGAAAAAAAGAAACAAATGCCTAAGGTTACCTGACAGACCAACACATAATTAGGACTTAAAATGGACCATTCACAACACATTTTTCCATGTCTTGCTAACCTGGAATGGAACTAAATAATTACGGGACTATTCAGTAGATGCCAGCCACTAGGAACAAATAGAGATGATAAGTGAAAGTAATTTACTGGGGGAGTGAACAATATTTTTTCTGTGACTTACTTTGAAGAGCTGCCACATTGACCTTCACAATAGGTTAACACAACAGAGGAGGAAGATTTACAGCCATTGTATTTGATGACTGTTGGGATGCTTTGTGGTCCACAGTCTTTTTGCTCCACTAAGGGGAAAACAAACAGCATGAGCATGCAGTCACAAACATTATCTAATAGAAAGCCAAGGTACATAAGTAGGATGGTGTTTATGCTTGTGTGTCTCTCTTTGTGTGTGCATACACATGCATGCATGCAGGAAGAAGGGAGAGAACTGGTAGGTCCACGTATTTTAATCAGAATGAAGTAACCTTTGCCTCTTGATGTTTCGGGATATTAGGAAAAGATAAAAGGGCACATTAATGTCCATTGTCTTTTAGCATGGCTGTGGAAACAGTGGCATTCTAGATGTTGTGGACTACGAGTCTCATCAGCCCTAAATATTGGCCTTACTCACTGGGCTGATGGGAGAATCTGACAGCAACTGGAAGGCCATGGATTCCTCACTGATGACTTGGAGGGCATTGATGGAAAATCTACTCAGATGACATGGATATTTAAAGCCAACCTGTTCAAGGAGCCTGGGGGAGCCTTGTTCTGGTTGTTTACTGGCTGGTCTCCATCAAATATTAGGGATAAGGAAGGTTGTGCTGCACCTTTCAACACAAAGGCTTCTCTTTTCACTGTATGTTCATGTTTGCTCCTGTGCTACAAAGGCACAGTGCTTAACACTTTCTCACTGCTCAGGTAATTCATCCATCTACTTCCCACTACACAAATATAGCTAATGTGACTGAAGACACACACTACTACACTGTACCAATTTGGCAGTGGTGAGGGGAGGGGAATTCGACTTTTTTGACATCACTTACCAGGTGGACATGTCTTGCAGCAGCCGTTCTCAGTCAGTTTCACAGCATCCTAAAAAGAGAGAAAAGGTTTTGCAATTATTGACAACAAGCACCTTCTTCTAAACAAATCCAATCTCTTCATGTCAGTGATAAATTCACACTGGTGTCAGAACTCTAAAGTGAGTTCAGGCAAAGGCAGGTAAACAATACTTGTCCCCACAGGCCCAAAGAATGTTGCCCCCCCCCCAATGTATTATTATTATTTGTTATCTCCTAATAGATGCATACTGCTTACCATATATAAAAAATCTTCTGTGAAAGGTAAGACTACCTAAATGCCTTTTATAAAAAGTATAACAGTAATATTTACCATAATAATTATTATATTGTTGCACTAGAGTATTTCTACTACCTCTGTTAAGAATCTAGTGATTTCGTGTCTAGTCTACATTCTGTTAGCTTTTATATTTGTACCTCAGTGAACCTGTGTGGGAATCCAAGGCAACAATTTCACACTGGCTTTGTCTGCATGCCTTGGAGAAGCCTCGGAAGGAACAGTCTGTGCAGCTGCGGTTATGGCGGAGAGTTAAATGCGAGTGGCAACACACTTAATATAGGAATAGAATTTTAAGTTGCAAAAAGTTGCCAATGCCATACAGCCCTTATACAACTCTTTGGTGCAATCATGCTTGCAATATTGTTTATAGTTCTTTATACTGCACCTAAAAAGAGGTTGCAGAGTTGGAAATGATGGAGAAAGGGGCAACTTAAATGATCAAGCAACTCCCCTATGAGGATAGGTTGTGACTTTTGGAACTGCTGAGCATAGAAAAAATATAAATGGTGACAATGGCATACAAAAATTTGTAATGTGAGGATAGGACAGCAATATTCCCCTGTATGCCAATTGCTGGGAGGGCACTATTGCTGCTGATGGGTTTCCAACAGGTAGCTGGTGGGCTACTGTGTGAACAGAAGGATAAACTAGATAGAGAAAAACTACATAGGCTTTTGGTCTCATCCAGCACGGCTCTTCTTGAGTTTTTTTTAGTCATCTGGCAGTTTTAAACACGGAAGTTAGGCAGGTATTTTACAAGTCTGCTTGGAGAGAGAGAAAGAGAGACAGAGATCTGAATGTGTCTCTGAGTGGGAAGATCTGGTTCTGGCAAGCCTACCTGGAAATCAGCCCTTGTTGGGGAGTCCCTGCATCAGGGTGACTGCTAGTTGATATTAGAAACAAAGGCAATGGTATGTGTTTGGGCCATACACAAAGCCACGTGTGGAATGAAAAGGAAAATAATTTCTGCTCTCTTCAACTAGCAATCACTAGGAAAAACAGGAGTTTTGTTTAAATCTTGAAGACTGGACCCCAACTAAGTTAGTTGACCCTGACCTAAAACCAGTGGGACAAGTTAGTCATGACTTGACTAATGGGTCTTGCTTTCAGTAGGAACTAACTTAATTTGGATCTAAGCCATTGCATACTGTACTGATTCCAAACTAGGTAATGAAATCTAGCTATTTTTGTAATAAACTCTGTGCACATTGGGTGGCTACTGAAATAGATTGAAAGACACATGGTTGTCAGGTACACTTACGTGTGAGCAGGCAGATTCATTAAATGGAGGACAGCTTATCTTGACAGTGACAGGAATATACTTGTCTTCAATCCGTTCACATTGGTAGGAGGTACAGTTGTCTTCTGGATGGTACCAGGTTTCTCCTGGCTGAAAAAGCCACAGTTGCATTAATATGATTAGAGGCTGGCATAGCATTTGACTTTCCTTTAGTCAAAAGGCTTTTGTTTGCATCACCAGGACTAGCCTTCTCTGACCTGGTACACTCCAAAAGTCTTGATCTACAACTACCATCACCCCCAGCCAGAATGGCAATTTGCTGGCTGGAGCATAATGTGTGTTATAGACCAACACATCTGGTGGACACGAAGCAGGAGAAAGTTTATGAAGACAATATGGTTTTTGTGAAAGAGCCAGGAAAGTTTTTGGCAAGTTACTACAGAAAGGCTAGTGCTGAAAAGTCTTCATTACATGGAAGAGAGTATTATCCTTTGTATAGTCAGCTGTGCTTGCAGCTATAGAAAATGTTTGCTTTTTCCACTGGGTGCTATTGAGTTTCCATGATCACATGGTAACTGAGTATGTCCTCTGGTTTCATGGCCAGTGTCCATTGAGCGATCACACAGTGTGCCACTGGTGCTGCAATAGGGATCCTTCTTCCCTTGCTTCCTGGTCTCTGGTTCTCTCAAATGCAGGCGTCTCACGGATCCCGCCCAGCCATTCACTCCACCCCCTTCTCCATCCAGTCCCATGGCATTCTGCATTGGTAGACAGCTTGGTGTCCCTTTACCAAACCATACAATCTTCATTGGCTTCAATCATGAACACAAGAAGATGTCCTGATGAAATGTGTATCTCTATGTGCTGAGGCAGCATTCCCCTGCCCCCACCACAACGCAAATGAGGGCGTCTAGCTCAGGGCAATAAGCTATATGCTGACACGTCCAAAGGCAGATCCTGCTGACACACGTTACCCACACAATGATTTTAACCATTTTCCCTAGGATGGAATGGTCCTTTGCTGCTTGGTGGAGCATGTGGTTTGTGGAGCATACAAAAAGCTCCAGGTTCAATAGCTGGCATCTCTCGAGGATCTCAGGATGCAGAACTGGGAAGGATCCCTGCCTGAGAGTTTGGGAGCCCTGCCAGTCAGAGCAGGCAATCCTGGGAGAAATGGATTAATAGTCTGATAATGGAGTTTCGTATAACTTATATGGTATAATCAAGTTTCAGAAGCCAAAATAGACTGGTCATTATCCACACAACTGGATGGACCAAACAGAGGCAAAAGTAACATTGTGAAATAAGACTGTTGAGGTGGGAAACTTTCAGGCACCTAGGCACCAATTTCCCCCCAGAACCCACCTGGGGCTACATCCTGCCACTGAATTTGCTGCCCAAAACTGGCAAAGGAAAATTGGACACTTTTGACTGCCAAATTTGTGTATCAAATGTAGTGGTATGGTGGGCATTGCAAAAAATGGTCAGTGGGCTGCATGCAGCTTACATGTTACCTGCTCCTGAATAACCAGAATATGATACATTAAGTTAAATTAAAAATCTATACCCTTTCCGGATCTATCACAAGTAACTTAAATATGAAAGAATGACACTGGTATGCATGAAATATGGTGTTACCTTGATAACTTTGGAATCTGTGGGGCTCAGTTTCAGAATGCATGCTACGGGGACACAGTGACCGCAGCATTCCCCAGGAATTTCTTTGTATTTATGTCCCTGTTTGAGAAAACATGAAAGACAATTCTTGAGATTAAGCATATCTTTCCCCTGCTTTCTTTCCAAAGGTAAAATAGCTGGGTGGATAGGTAGATGAATAGATGAAATTACAGAAATGGTGTGGAACTTACCTCTGGGCAGCTTCTGTCACATGTTTGTGATCTGCATACTATCACATTCGATTTGCTTCCAGGATCTTCATCAACAGAGCATCTGCATGTTTCACAGGGGCCACGTGGAATGACTGCTCCAGGCTAAATGGCAAAAGGAGAAACAGTATTAAATAATTGTAATCTGATTTCCTAATTCAAAAATATATTGTGTTTCGGTGTGATTTTTAAAAAATCACTCAGGAGAACTGAAAAGCTAAATTAGAGTGCAATATTTTATATAAAGAGAAGTACAAAATGAATCCTCTCATTCAAAAAATCTAAGGAACCCAAGGGAAGCTTAATTAATTTTGATCATCCAGCAAAGGGTCCTAAAGACTTTAGTCCATCCCTAGGTTATCTCCAGATTTTGCATAAAGTGAAATTTGAAGGTTCCTCCTGGGGGAGGGAAAAAAACCCTGAGAATTTTGAGGTCAGGCAAAAGAAGTTTGCTTAAAAGGGCGTGTGAGCTGCGGGGGAGGGGGGGCTTTCTTGCTGGTGAAGCGGACTGTGAAATCACAATCCAAATATTTATTATTTTTAATAGATTTACATACAATGAATTTGACTACATAAAAAATCAGTTTAACTACGCAACTGTTAGTGTTGATGAATATCATTACATAAATTCTTAAATTGGACTGAGCTAAACTGACTTTTGCAAGGTTTACTTGTTATTTTTCTGCCAGAAGATAAAACATCTGCTGACATGTTTTCAGTGTACAAAGCAAGAATGCATCGGATCTTGTCAAAAAAGGTATGATTAATTTGCATTTAATCCTGAGTAGGCAAGTTCCTGAATATGCTTAAGAACATGCAAATCATTTTGCTGCATCTAGCTTAGCACGCTAGTTGCTTTTAAGCATCTTAGCCAACAGCTGCTAAGTGATTTATCCCTAAACTGACCACTCCACCATGTATGGATCAAGCTGTATTTTCTTCCCACCCCAGTGCATAAATGTTAACAAAAGAGATGATATTTCTCCTTGTGTTGTGGAATGGACTAGATATTATTAATTTGTGATGAAGCAGTTAATGGCTTCTAGTTCATTCATTCCTTTGTTTTAATCAACTGATGACTTATTTGAAGCAAATATCACCACCTATAAGTTCAGGTGATGTTCAGGATACTACAGGAGACTCCCCTCTCTTGGTTGGATAGAACCACTTCAGCATTTGTGCAGATGGGGAGGGGAGGTGTGTGTAAATGTTGTAAATAAAAATAAAACTTCTGTTCGATTAGATAACTTGCAATGTATCACATTAGTCAAGTGGAGACATCCAGGTTAAGGGAGTATCACCTTCCCTGGAAGTCTTTAATGGTGGTGCTGGGTCCTTGAAAAAACACATAAAATATCCCCTTCAACCTGTGTCGATTGATTGACTGGTGCTTCTAATATTCATGATGATGTACTTACTTTATAGAAGGTCTCATTGACGACACAGCCTGGTACCTTCTCTGTGAAACAGAAAGATATATTGTAAGATATCTTTGCATTTTTTCTGCAGTGCTGAGAAATGATAGTAGGCACTTAGTTCTGGTAACTGCATAAACTAGACTATAAAGCAGCATCTCCTGGTCCTTGTTTTGACAGCTGAAACGGACAAGAAAACTTACCAGAGGAGACTGCACATATGTGTCTTGACCTAATTATGCAGTTTTGTAGCCCAAAAATATATGAAAAGGAATGTGTTCCAAAGTCCTTCCAAAGTGTTATTTCATTCACTGATGAGATCATGAAAGCATGTGGCAGGGAGTTTGTTGCTCTTCCTGAGTGGCTCCATAGCCAGTTCCAACAATCCACAATAAAGTTGTCTGGTTGGAATCAGACAATACAACATAGAAACATAGAAACAGAGCGAGTCAGAAGGGGTCTCCTGGGCATCTAGTCTGACCCCCGGCTCCAGCCGGCTCTGCTCACGACATGTCCAACACAACAAACCATCATGGGTAAAAAAGTCTCTAAAACAAGCTGTGAGTTCTCAGGGTAGCTTGCTAATGAAAAATAGACTACATTGCTGAAAGAGTGACAGGCTTAAACTATACAAAAACCTACCATGGCTTGTTACCCATAATGGGTTGTTGTATTGTGCAAAACAATAGCCAGGAGACCTTTGTGAAGCCTTTCCTTGATATTGTCATTCTCCAGGACTCTCCCAGCATTTTTTTTAAGGAAAATCAGCTATGTCCCTGTAGCTACCATTATTTGCTACAGAGGCCTAGTGTAATTTCATAACCTGCTGTATACAATTGCACTACTGTGTGTTGTATAGCGGAACATACAGGAACCTGTACAAAGGCGAGGAGGAAAACCCCTGGGAGGTGGGAGATGCTTGTGCAAAGGGCACCCTAATCCTTCAAAGAAAGCAGAAAAAGAAAAGACTCAGTAAAGCACCAGATTATATGCCTCATGTAAAGAAACCCTTCATTAGGTTCAAAAAACCAGTATCAAAACAATTCCGCAAAATTTTAAAGGTTTCAAGGTATGGTTTCGTTCTTACCACAAGTGGTGCTTAGACAGCAGTCTCCTGGCAGCTTTTGTTGTTTTAATTTGTACCCTGGTGGGCAGGTCTCGATGGACTTGGGACAGTAAGTAGTGTTGCATACTGTAGAAAGTAAGACAAAAGGGAGGGGGGGAAGCCAGGAGTAGCATTACATTCAAGATATTTTCATATTTATTTAAAAAATTCTGTACAGGGTTTTCCAACCTTCTGATTATGTGGAATAAACATCAGCTTCTGATCTGGTACAGAATACTAGCAGTACCTGCTGGGGTGGTGACGCCTTCTGCACTGTTGCAGCATGGGCAAATCAGCCACTATGCATGATGAAAGTAGCCTCAGCTAAACAGGAGCACCAACCGTGGAATTTCCCAAAGTGAAGAAGATGCCCATTTTGGCAGGTGCCCATTAAAAAAACAAAACAAAACCCAATTTTCTTTCTTAAAACATGTGGGGGATTGCACTTACCACATTCTTGACGGGGACAGCATTTGTCTTCAGGTGATAGTGTTGAGATAGATACAAATCCTTCAAATGGACAGTGCAGTGGGGTAGGTGATACATGGCATCGCTTTGGTTCACACCGCACTATGAGAGAATATTTCTCACAAGTACACTCTTGGCAGTCACTGGTCCAGGTTTCTCCAGGCTGTGAAAAGAGTGATATGAAAGAAGGTAACAGTTTGTGCTTCCTACATTACATTTTGTAGTGGTATGAACAGGAAATGTCTCTGGCTTGCTCTTCCTATTTCTTTGTTGTTGGCTTCTTTGTTAATGCCTAAAGAGGACATTAGCATTAAAGAAGAGGACCCCTGCCTCTGCCTTCTCCCTCCATCTACACCAACAGAATGCCTGATCTGCCCTGCTGGCCCAAAGCAAGATGCAAATGCTCTGACTGTTTCACAACATCATCCTACCCTTGCCAGGCCTCCATCTAACCTATCCCCCCTCCTAATTTATGAGTTGTGTAACAGGGCAGCAGGGGATTCTGCTGCTGATGGTGGCTGTTTGTGGCACGCAGGAAGAAACGGTTCCTGCTCTCTCAAAGAACTGCTCTGAACATTGTACAACTCTTGAAAAGGCTTAGTTTTCATGGAGCTTATATTTTATGAGGTATAATTATTTTGATACTTACTGCTTTAGGCATTCCATTTGGTCCCGTGCAACCTGAAAGAAATATAAGAATGGAGATTTTGCACTGATGTTATTGAGAAGTTGTGAAGCTAATTTGGCTAGTTCAAACACCAAGACTATGGAAACACTGAATTCTAGTATAGTTCTTTGTATTTTCTGAGACAAAGGGTGCTGGGAGCTTTAGGATCTCTTGAATCTGAACAGTTCCAGTAAGATACTAGCATTGGCCATACAATATTAGCCATGTAAGAAAACACACACTGTAGGGTGCTGTGTGAAAAAAATCTCAGTGCTTTGAGCACCAGACTTTCTTTTTTATACAATTCTTTGGCCCAGCTTGCACATTACTCACAGTTAACTTTATGAAAAAACATTCCATTGGAAACTCTAATGTACTCTGTAGCACTCCATCCCTTATCCAACAGTTTACTTGAATTGTTTCATTGTGCAGGGCAGTAAAAAAAGACAAATATTCTTCACCTAGATATAATAATATGAGCTTTACTTAGGGAATGGTTCTTGTTAAGAATAACTCATGTTTTGGGTCACTGGAAGTCCCTCTTCCTTTAGTTTCTACTGTTGTGAGTTAAATCAAAGGGACGGAGACTGCTGTCTAGCCAGTGAGCTGTTCAAGAATTCTTCATACAATGAATTAGCTTCTATGTATGATTACATACCACAGTCAGAGACACAGATATCCCTGTATGAGCTGAAGAGCTTAGTTCCATTACGACAGAAGCAACCTTCAGTTGTTCCACCGCTATTATGCACTATAGGACTGCAGGGAAAATGAAAACCGAATTAGAGCAGCACCACAACCTTCCACCATAAACATTCAGTTTGTGTTTTAAGATTTCATCACCCTAATAAAGGCTAAAAGGAGAGGGAGACCCACAGTGCCAAAGTCTCTTTTCAGAGCTGAGTGAGAAATGAGAAAAATTCAGTCAGTCAACTTTGTAATTATGAATACATAATTACAAAGTTGATTTGTAATACTGCCTTAATAATACTGTTAGTTTCTCCTTATTCATGTACTGTGCCACCCTTCCTTGAAATGACTCATGTCAGTGTAAATATGCATTTATTTCTTGTTCTGTGGCTCAGCTCCTGAGAAGGACATGCAGCTTCCCCAACCAACAGTACAGGACTTTGAAAGTAGACACCTGGTGGGGGATTTGTTCCCATGACAGGACCTGAATATGTTCCTGGGAGGGGAAAATGGTGGGGGGAATCTTGCGGGAGACACATCAGCATAGTGATGGGTATAGGGAGAGGGTTATTCAGGTGAGGGAAATGTGACCTAGCCAGTTATTGGTTGTGCCATGTTCTGGCCCTTTTCGCATCCTCAGATGTGACAGTTGTCCTATCAGCTTTCCCTGAGGTCTCTGGGTGCTGCTCTTAAGCACCAATTTGGTGCAGAACAAGACTTCTCTCATCCATACTCTCACAGTGGATGGGGTGCTTGATCTGGCATGTATAACCAAGACGTGGTTGGTCAAACGGAGTAGTTAGTATCTCCTAGTTGTGCCCACCAGAGTACTTCAGCATCAGGGCAGACTTGAATGCTTGGGAATGGGTTGCTGTGGTCTGCCAAGATTTGCTGTATCTCTTTAGGCTCTCTGTCCATCTGACCAGCCACACAGAGCGTTTACATCTGGTGTTGGGCCAGCAGGACAGCTTAGGCATTCTGTTGGTGCAGTGTCCACTCCACTACTCAACAGACTCCCTGTCTGAGCTGACAAAGATGGTCTCAGATGTGATGCTGAGATCTTGCTGGCTGTTGGTTTCAGGGGATATCATCATTCATGCAGAGGGCACTTTGCCTGTCATGATATACACAGCAACCACAAGGCTTTCTGAACATGTCAGCTCACTCTAAACCTGTTTTCTTCAACCAGGCATAGGAATTGTGATGTAAAGGTGGAGGACTTTGATTCAGTCCCCTTGTTTTAGTCAGATCCCTACCTGCTGAAGCGTATCACTTCTGCAAGGGTGGGAGGGTAAGTGGGTGGGTGGCTATTAAGATAGTTTGCCCCTGGAGGTGAATGGATCTGGATAGTTTCCAGAAGACTCCAAGAGGTTTCCCAGCTGATAAGGGAAAGGTCCTCTAGAAACCCTGGTTGATCTCTGGAACACTGAGCTGAGCCAGGCAATTGACTGGATCATTCCTGAGTGCCCTCTATCTATCTATCTATCTATCTATCGATCGATCGATCGATCTATCTATCTATCTATCTATCTATCTAAAACATTTCTATGCCGCCCCCATTGCAACAAAGCCTTGGGGCGGCTCACAAAGAATACATAAATACATACATAAATAATGATAATATAACAATTAAAAAAAGCCATTTAAAAACCCCCGGTGCATTCTCAGCTAAAATTTTTTAAAATCCTAATTAATTCAATAATTTAACAATTAAAATAAGTTTTAAATAAAAAGGTCTTAGCCTGGCGCTGAAAAAACAAATAACGACGGTGCCAGGCGGACCTCTC